ATGAAGGATGCTCAAAATTATTAGATCAAGGAAAGCAGGCCAAATTGCAGTGGTTACAGGATCAAAGTGAGTTAAATGGGGATAATCTGAACAATATAAGACTTGAAACCACCGGGCATTTCAGGAAAGAAAGAGGGAATATCTGAAAGACAAAATTGATGAGCTTGCAATGAAAAGTAAGAACAAGAACATTAGAGACCTGTATAGGGAGTAAATTATTTTAAGAGGGGTTACCAGCATAGCAGTCTCTTAGTGAAGGATGAGAATGGTGATCTGCTTGCAGATTCCCACAATGTTTTGAATAGGTGGAGGAACTAATACTCTCAGTTATTGAATGTACATAGGGTCAGTGATGTTAGGCAGACAGGAGTCCATACAGCTGAGCCGTTAGTACCTGATCCTAGCCCTTTTGAAGTTGAAAGTGCTATTGCAAAATGAAACTGTATAAATTGCCAGGTAGTGATCAAATTCCTGCAGAACTTATTCAAGCAGGAGGCGATATATTACGTTCTAAGACCTACAAGCTAATTACTTCTATTTGGCATACGGAAAACTTGCCAGATCAGTGGAGGAGTCTATTACTGTACCATTTCACAAGAAGGGTGATGAAACTGACTGTAGTAATTATTGGGGGATATCACTGCTATCAACTATATTCTTCTCTCAAGGTTAAGTCCATATATAAATGAAATTATTGGGGATCATCAGTGTGGGTTTCGACATAACAGATCAACTACAGATCAGATCTTTTGCATTCGTCAGATATTGGAGAAAAAATGGGAGTACAATGAGCCAGTACATCAGCTATTCATAGACTTCAAGAAAGCCTAGGATTCAGTTAGGAGGGAAGTATATCGTACAGTATTCTGATAGAGTTTGGGATACCCATGAAACTAGTTAGGTTGATTGAAATGTGTTTAAACGAAATGTATAGTAAAGTCCATGTAGGTAAACATTTGTCTGATAAATTTCCTATCCAGAATGGTCTAAAACAAGGAGATGCTTTATCGCCACTCCTTTTCAACTTTGCTTTAAAATATGCAATTAGGAAGGTCCAGGGAAACCAGGTGGGACTGAAATTAAACAGTACACATCAGCTGTTGGTCTATGCCGATGATGTGAATCTACTGGGTGATAATGTAGATACCATAAAGAAAAACACAGAAACTTTAATTGATGCAAGTAAATAGGTTGGTCTAGAAGTAAACATGGAGAAAACTAGGTATACACATACTACTCTGTCCAAAAAGTATCCGACCTTGGGCCGGAAAAAAAATTTTGTATCTGGGTTGTTACAATATCTAATCGCCTTCAAAGTAGGCCCCTTGTGACTCCACACACTTAGCCAGTGGTCCTTCCATCACTGGAAGCAATTCTGGAAGGCTTCTTTTGGAATGGTGTGCAGCTGCACCATCGTGTTCTGTATGATGTCCTCACGGCTGTCAAAACGGCAGCCTTTTAGCAGTGTCTTCAATCTCGGGAACAGCCAGAAACCACAAGGAGCCATGTCAGGAGAGTAGGGAGCCTGGCAAACCTGCGGAATGCTGTGCTTGGCCAGGGAACCCTGGATCAGGTGTGATGAATGAGCTGGGGCGTTGTCATGATGCAGCTACCAGTTGCGTGCGTCCTACAGCTCCGGTCTCTTGCGCCGAACTGCATCACGAAGATGGCGGAGGACTTCTTGGTAGTACTCCTTATTGACAGTCTGGCCTAATGGTGTGTACTCATGATGCACAACACCCCAGTAATCGAAAAAAAAAACCGCCAGTATCACCTTCACATTGCTCCAAACCTGTCGTGCTCTTTTGGGCCTCGGGGATGTTGGATGCTTCCATTGTGATGCCTGGACCTTGTTTTCCGGGTCATATCCGTACACCCACAACTCGTCACCAGTGATCACAGTCTTCAGGAACTCAGGATCCCTGTTGGCGCACTCCAGCCTATCCTGCATGACCTCAAGGCAGAGTTGTTGCTGCTCCGGTGAAAGCAGCTGGGCACAAATTTTGCTGCCACTCTTCGCATGCCCAAATCCTCAGTTAAAATTGTGTTTGCGGAACCTCTGCTGATCCCAACCTCATCAGCAACTTCCTGGATGGCCAAACGATGGTCCTCCATGATCAGTGTCTGCACTTTTTCAATGACATCAGCATTTTGGCTCGTTGACGGTCTGCCAGAACGCTGCTCACTGTCCGCCGACATACGGCCATCTTTAAACCGGTTGAACCACTCTTTAATTTGATTGACCCCCATTGCATCGCCGAAAGCCTGCTTAATTTTGTGGATTGTTTCCACTTAGGTATCCCCAAGTTTCTGACAAAACTTAATGCATTATCGCTCTCCAAGCATTCTGTCATCTTGAGTGAAACGAGAATGTGACAAACATGTGTTACACCACTTCACTATCTGGCAGCCACAGATGCATCCGGCAGTGTTGCGAGTCAGCAAAAAATCACGCATGCGCACTGTTTCCCCACCCCTTTGGCCATTACTTAGAGCGGAAAAAATAAAGTGGGATACTTTTTGGACATACAGTATGTTGCTGTCTCATCACCAAAATGCAGGGCAAAATCATGACATAAAGATAGGAAACAAATATTTTGAAAATGTGGCACAGTTCAGATATTTGGGAACAGTGATAACAAATCAAAACCTGATTCAGGAGGAAATTAAGAGGAGACTGAACTCGGGTAATGCTTGCTACCATTCAGTCCAGAACCTTTTGTCTTCTCGTCTGCTGTCCAAAAACGTAAAAATTAGAATATACAAAACTATAATTTTGCCTGTGATTCTGTATGGGTGTGAAACTTGGTGTCTGACATTAATGGAGGAACATAGACTGAGGGTGTTTGAGAACAGGGTGTTGAGGAGAATATTTGGACCGAAGAGGGATGAAGTGACAGGAGGTTGGAGAAAACTGCACAGTGAGAAGTTTCGTAACTTGTACTCTTCTCCAAGTATAATTAGAATGATCAAGACAAGGAGGATGAGGTGGGCAGGGCGTGTAGCACGAATGAGGCCAAAAAGAAATGCATATAGGATTGGTGGTCAAGCCAGAAGGAAAGGGACCACTGGGGAGACCAAGACGTAGGTGGATGGACAATATTAAAATGGATCTTAGAGAGATAGGATGGTATGGTATGGATTGGATTGATCTGGCTCAGGATAGGGACCAGTGGAGGGCTCTTGCGATCATGGTAATGAACCTTCAGGTTCCATAAAATACTGGGAAATTCTTGAGTAACTGCAGAATTGGCGGCTCCTCCAGAAGGGCTCAGCTCCATGAGTAAGTAAGTAATCGCAATATATCTGTTCTTTACTGTCTTTTATGTTTAACAACATAAATTCATGTCAATTTATATCTGATATACACAATAGAAAAAGAAGGCAGGGTTATAATTTTAATCTTTATCAACCTTCAGCCCATTGGTCACTGTATCTCAAGGAAGCTTATTATATGGGTATCAGGATGTTTATTAATCTTCCTGTTTTCATAAAGCAATTATATAACAATCCTGTTGATTTTAAACTGGCTTTGAAAAAATTCTTATGTGGTCATTCATTTTATACTTTAGATGAATATTTTGATTCTAGATATGACAAGAATAATGATACTATTCACTTGTAATGGTTGTCTGCCAAATATTGTTGTATGTTGTGTAATGTTTTGATGGATTATGAATGTTTATATTGCTCTTCCTATATAACTGTTTCCACATCCTCAGTTGTATGGATCTATGGAATGAAATAAAAAACTATGAACTAACTATGTTAGTGATGAGAGAACAGGATTTGCAAGTGCCTAAAAACAAAATGATCAGAGAAATAGAGGCTACTACATTAAGGAATTCTGTGACTCATGGAGCTCAGATTAGCTTTTGTCATCAGGTTGCATCTCTGCCTGAATTGTTCATACCATCATTTCTTTTGGTGGCAAACTGTCTACTCTCTCCTTGGAAACATGGCAGTCAGTTTTGTATACTCCTCGATTTGTGATTGACATTTCCTGAAAAGTCATGGAAGGTGAAATCATATAATTTACACATAAAAATTAATATAAATGTCTCGAGTTCTGCTACAAGTGTATATTCTCGCAGTTGCTTAAACTGATTGTCATGTGTAACATGGTACGTCTGAACCATAATGCACTTTGTGTTAGCTTTGTTCCTGATTGTGGAGACTGTGACTTGAGTCACTGTGTACTTTGAGATAGCTCTTTTCCTAAGGATGGAGACTGTGTAACTTCAGTCATTGTGTACTTTGAGTTAGCTCTTTTCCTAAGGATGGAGACTGTGTAACTTGAGTCATTGTGTACTTTGAGATAGCTCTTTTCCTAAGGATGGAGACTCTGTAACTTGAGTTGTAGGTTACTTGTATTTTAATTAAACTTAATGTGCATATCATGCCACCCGAGGCCATCTCAATGGCATATTTATAAATCCTACCAATCAGTAGCACCAACACTGCAGCCCCTCAGATTGTTGAGGTAATAACCTTATTATAACTTGAATGCCTGATAGATTGTTGTGAAACTTGTTGTGCATGTTATACTGTCAGCTGAGGCCATCTCAACTCAACAGCTTACTTCATCAATCCATTCCATCAGTATGCCTGATAGATTGTCATGAAACTTGTTGTGCATGTCATACTGTCAGCTGAGGCCATCTCAACTCAACAGCTTACTTCATCAATCCATTCCATCAGTAATGCCGATGTTTCAGTCTCTCAGAACCTTGACAATTCTTGAATGCTTGAACTGATGGTCGTGAAACTTGGCATATATATCATGCCACCTGATGTCATCTTGACAGCATACTTCATGAATCCCTCCTTTCCTTAATGCCAACACTGCACCCTCTAAAATTGTATTGTTTTACTGACTTCATTATGCCTTCATAGGCAAGTGTTTTTCTATTTGCTTCAATGAGCAAATTGTAGTTAAAGGGAAGTAGGTGATAGTTTTTGTGAGAACCTCTTGTTATTTATTTTAATGATTGATGCAGGTAACATGGACAATTTAACAAGGAGCAGCAAAATCTGGCCAAAGATCAAGGAAACATTGAAGAAACAACAGGCCTTGGGTACAGATTTGACATTGAGATGTCAGGTACATCCATCAGTGTTCACTAGAGTTTGCACTGCAGCAGATTTCCACAAAGTTCCAGAAGGTGGATGTTCACAAGTTTGTGGAGCTGAACTTCCATGTGGACACAAATGTAAACGTGTTTGTCATGTCCAAGACCGGGACCATGGGGACATTTTGTGTTTTGATCTATGTGAGAGGTGAGAATTGTATTAATTTCTTAACTCTTAATGTCCACTGCCATGCAGCACTATGCTTGAGTTCGGATAAACCTACATATATTTTCAATAATATACATAAACTATGAAATACATTTTTTTCAGAAAAGTTTGTATTAATACTTGGGACTGTGCCTCATATGATTGCTTTGGAAGATCATCATGATTAAGATAAATATGCTTCTGTTTGCATTTTCTTCCAGTATGTGTTTACATTCAACTTCCAATATTTACATTTTACTAACATAAATACTCAGAAAAATGGATACATCATGTAAACTTGTGTTCTCTCTCCAGCAGCCATCACTAGTGTAGCCGTTTAGTTTCCGTAGGCACACTGTCGCCACAGATAAGGTGAAGGTGGCCGCAGCCGTTCACTGTGAAGGGTTTAGGTGGATGCAGCTGCTTGCTGTGAATTGCCTTTTAGCGACTCCAAGGAAGCAGTCGATGATGTAGCATCACCTTTGTAGTTGTCTGGGCGCCACCCAGTCAGGGAACATGAGACTATCACCTGGGCTGTTAAGTGGGCCTTGGCTTCAACGAAGGCGGTCAAACAAAACTCGCTACAACTTCACAACACATACACTTTATTTTACATTGAAGGATTACATCGTTGTTATAATTGTAATGAGGAACACATGTAGTCCTTTGTTCCTCCTTTGAAGAACTACGCGATCACGCGTCTTTTAACAGTTCAAGTATGTACCAGGCTTTGTCTGTCTTTGAACAAGGAAATGTGTTACCACCCTAGTGCCGCTAGGCATGACATCATACAGTAATAGGCTTTTTTCATTGGTTATACATTGGGAAGTACCTCTGTAAAGTCCCTGGCTACATGTTCTTGGGGCTTACATCACGCATTAAAAACACAAAGCGGAGCCCCTGGACTATAAATTTACGTATGACATCACGCTACATTGCATCATCTGCTACTTAATGTATAGTCCATGTCATCTTATATTGTGTGATAATGTTCGCAATTCCTTCAAATTCATACTTTGAGTTTTGTAAATTAAATAGTTACATAAAATATAAATGTATACATAAATTGGGCAAAGTATATTACTAAAAAGGAATAATTGGTTACAATCTCCCAAGTAATTTTTTTTTTCTGTAATGAAGTGAATGAAACAACATTTACTTCATATTCGCCTTAATATGAATGGTTGTACTTCCTTACACTTAATCAAAAGAATTATTATGAGTAGTAAAGTTTAACAATAGGTAAAATTCTTGCAAATTAAAGTTCTTTAACTCATGGTAATACACAATACATATGAAGTTTGATAACAGGTAACCTTTTGCAAAATTGAATTTCTCCTGACCCATTATGATATATTTTGTGCCTGTTGATTATTTGTTCATAGCACTTTAAAACTGATTAGGATATCAAAGTGATAAAGCTTTCACTAAATGTCACTGCCTTCTATGGGGTTTCACGTCTTAGTTAACACTTAACTGTGTTCATTATGAGCGTTCTTGAAACAGCATTTTTTTTCGTAAACAGTGTGTTCTTATTATTGTTTACTATCACTGAAATGTTTACATATTTCACTTGCTAACTGAAAATTTTAGGTTTCACTTCTCATTATTATCATACATTGGTTGCATTCATGTTAACTATGTTGACCTACAGCTATGTACATATAGCTTCACATTACACCTGTTGTTGTGAGTATGTTACCTATGTACGTTTTAGCTATAATTTCTTCTTCTTTCAAATTTACAAAATGAAACTTCATCTGCTTTGTAAGTTTCATCAACTCAAGACTTTGTAACTGTATTTTACATCTGAAGTTCTATATAACATACAAAATTTCAAAAAAATAAATTCTAAATCCTAATTGTCTTTCGTACATACAAAACGAGACCAGAATGTTATCCATGTAGAAAACTACATCATCATCATCATCATCATCACTGGCACGGCAGCCCTTTGTAAGCCCTGGCCTTCCTCAAGATTGCTTGCCATTCTTCTCCATTCGATGATACATTCCTCCAGTTCTTTGCACCCAGAATTCTTATGTCCTGCCACACACACATTCTTCCCATCTTAATCTTGGTCTTCCCACTTTCCTATTTCCTTCTGGTTTAGTATTAAGTATTTTCTTAATCGCTCTGTTCTCGCTGGCACTTATTATGTGTCCAGCCTATTCAAGTCTTTTCACCTATATAATTCCAGTAATGTTTGGTTCATTAAATAGTTTGTGTAGCTCATGGTTATGCCTCTTCCTCCATATTCCATTTTCTTCCACTGGTCCAAAGATATATCTCAAGATCATCCTTTCAAATATACGTAACAGTCTTTCATCTGATCTTGAAGAAAACTATAAAAGTCTCAGTATTATTTCGTAGGTTAGCTTAAAAGCTTTTGCAAATGCAAATAAAAAAGATTTCTCAAATTATATAGTTAGACCCATCAAATCTTCTATAATGGTTCTTGCAGGAGATGTGTCCATTCAGAATCAGTGATGTTATACTAATTAACTCTGCGAGCATCTATTCAGATTCTAGGCTTCTTGTCATTTTGTTGTACAACTGCCGTTAAAGGGTTCAGAAAAGAGGAGTTTCCAATTTCCAAAATATTGCCATTTATCATCTGATCTATCTGTGATGTAACAGCTGGCCTTAAAGCAAATTAAATAGGTCAACTGTATCCCACTACAGGCCACTTGAAACTCTTAACTAAACAGCTTATATTTCCCTGGTCGTGAAGTCATATTATCTATGTATTTAACTAGCACTCTGAAAAGTTAAGTTTTCTACAACACGTCGAAATTCAAATATATAATAGGTATATAAAAACATGCGTGCATTCAAATTCAACGTTGTATCAAAATTTCGAAGCAATCGGTGAAGAACTTTCGGAGATTTTCGATCGGTAACAAACGAACATTTACATTTTAATTTATATAGATTATATACATGTCACACCTGTGACAGGTTGGTTGGTTGAAGTATTAATTGTACTCAATATTAATCTACTGTAACATGTTATACGTCGTCCATCGAATACCAACAGATCGTTGCCTAGGAATAACCGTGGCAATGAACTGTTGAAACAGCGGAAATAGTGCATTTCTGCGGCAATGAGCACAGAACACGTGAAATCGAACCCTGGGCAAAAGTGCCCTCTATTGCGTTCGACACCAGGTTATAATAGTCCAGCTCCAAAGAGTTGTTCGGTGATACTGGACATGATAAGAATTGTACTCGCTGGTGTAAAAGTGAGCGTTCAATAACTTATTCACTGAATCCGAGACGTACGTGGAAGTTATTTGTCGCACTGAATAGGAGACACGTGACCACAACAACGTTACATAGGTAACACACAACATATTCTTATTATCAAAGTGCACGTAAATAATGCAACAATTTAAAAGACATCAAGAATATGTCACTCACTAAAAATGTATTTTAATACTTTATGATGTTAAAATCATTAAAAATGTCCATCTATCTATATAAATAAAAATGTAAATGTTCGTTTGTTCAGGATCTTAAATTCCCAAAAGTTCTTCACTCATTGCTTTGAAATTTTGACATAACGTTGCATTCGAATACACGCGTGTCACACCTGTGACAGGTAAAAACGTCACATGTTTGGAATCCAGGAGTCACTTCAATAGTAACGCTAGAACAGACCGTTGCATAGGTAGTGACAATAGCGGTATTGTAGCCCCAACAGTTGGCTGTTGCCAAGGAAGTAACAATAGCGATACCGTAATCCCAACATTGAGCCATTATGTCGAGAACATAGAATCTCCACGGTTACGATGAATACACGGAGCGTTCCCACAGAGACAACGAAATAACAGTGGGTCGTTGCGTAGGAAACGCCGAATCAACAAAGCACCGTTTCCACAGTTATAACTAAGGCTCATATGCCTAGCAGTGGCCGAGGGTATAACAGGGGGGTTCAATTCATTCGCCCAGTTAGTCTGGAATAACCGCCGAAGAAGTGAGTCTGTAGCCCCAACAGTTGGCCATTTTGATTTAGTTATTTCGTGTGACGTTGCGTTGGATTTGGGCTGTGTCGTTTACCATAGCGTTCATTTCATGAGTATAGTTTGTTTTTCATTTCGTTTTCTTAACTGTTTGTTACGCCACCTGTCATGCCGTGGCGACAGGGTGGCGTGGAGGTATCCCCGCTTTCACCTTCTGTCCTGCAGTCACAGGGGGTGGGCTAAGGAAACTGCTAAATTACTTCCTCCATCATTGCTTCATTGGCTAGGAGCACACTGTTCAGAGGGCTTGTCAGGAGGGCGCGGGTGCGAAATGTGGTAAGGGAGGAATTCACATTAACAGAAACCCACTCTCTCACCCTATGCTTCCCTATATTAGTATAAACAATCAATATACAGTTATATACATTTTAGTAATATCACAATTATAGAGCCTACTGGTGTCGGATTGCCATTACACTTTCTTAGACGATTCTTGGACCTCATCTTTCTCTTTTCACCCAGTTGCGGGTCGCTAGTCTCCTCTTTCTCCTGTTCTACTCAACCACTGTATATATATATATACACATCCCTGCCGCTAGACACACCCTCTGCAGTCTCTACATTATGCCTGTCTACCTCTGCATCACTCCGTTGGATCACTCTTACGCCCTGTACACTTGTATTGTTCCTAACTCATGTCCCATTGGAGGAGTTACACTTTAATAATATCACAATTATTAAGCATGGCGATAAGAGTAGTTCCACTTACTTGGGTTGAGTCTGCAGACGGATGGTGTTGCCTGCTGTCTAGTCGGTGCCCATTCTGGCGTGGCCTTCGGCCGCAAATGGGCCAAAATTACTGTTTGAATAATCCCCCTAATAATTTGCTCTCCGGGTTATATACCTTTATTCATGCTAACTCATTACTTTCATGGGGGGGGGGGCCTAAGCCCGCCTATAATGACGTCTTGTCCCAAGTGGTTGGCTGGGATCCTTAGGGTGGACACACCCCTTCTACTGCTAGACCATTTGGCTAACACTTTTGCCTGCAAACGTCCCTCCCTTCACTCAAGTGTAAATTCTGTAGTTAGCAGTTCGATATACATTCAACGTCATTCTGCTGACAAGACATCGACGCGTCAAAGGCTAATGGCCATCTAACTCCATACGCAGAAATTCCTTGAAGTTTCTTAACCCTTCTTACATCCTCTTTCGTACGTCTTACAAGTATTTCCCAAAACTGATTCTATCCTAACCAACATTTTTCCCTAAAATACAAAAAGTTAAATACTCTTTTAACATATTACCAGGAGTCGGCCTTCACGGCACAACACTGTTCTCCTTATTTTTCAGAAAACTGAGCCACAGCAACACGTGGCCAGGTACAGCTAGTTCTGAATAAAAAGAGTGAAATTTTGAAAATAATTCACGTCTTGTATTTTTAATGAACACAGTCATGAACAGAACCTGGACACACTGTGTATGTGATGTTTTGCTGTAGGCTGTTGAATTCCTGTTGGTACTGATTACGAAAATGTTTATGTTCAGAGGTGTCCATAAGGAGAAATATGGCAATGTGAGGTATGGAGAGCGCAAAGTAAGGGAATTCAGTTCTTCTGGAAATGTGCTGCAGGGTAGCTTGCTCCACTGTCCAGGGTTACATTGAGCAAAGCAGTGTCCTGCAGAAACTCTTGCATTCTGGGAGATTACCAGTTTGAACTGTGTATCAGACTTTTCTGTATTTTTCCATCAACATAGTTTTTTTTACTCATTCATTGCAGTTTTATGGCCACTTAATCACAACAATGGACACAAGGAATGGGATTTTTTCTTTCACACCTACCAGTGTAATTTGTATACTTCATATAGTGAGTTATGGTATAACATGATTATTAGGGAACACTTCCTTCATAACATGAGTCCATTTTTTATGTGATTTGATCAAGTATGTTTTGACTGGAGAAAAGAGGATATTTATGTGTGGTGTGAGGAGAGAAGTTTTAACTGTTTTCATTACAGTTTTTCGGTGACACAGGGTTTTTCGACAACAAGTGTTGTGTTATAGCAGAAGTGAAGGTACGTCAATGATTCGACTGAACTGAACATCCATGCTTTTCCTCATGTGTTCCTATTTATTAATTTATTCCAGTGATACATGAATGGGTGATTGCCATAGTTTGCTTTCTGTCTAGGATACCAGAGAATTGTAAACTACAGCATAAGTGCAGAAAATTATGTTCTGAAAAATGTGGGAACTGCAAAACTCCTGTACCAAGAACATTACGCTGTGGACACACAATGGATCTGCACTGTTATATTGATGCTGAGGAATACAAGTGTCCAGTGAAAGTGGAGTGTGAATTGATTGATTGTGGGCACAAAGTGAGGAAGCCATGTCACATGGACACAGACCTCATTCGCTGTTCATATCCTTGTGAAGACCGTCTACCATGTGGTCACAGTTGTACATTAAGATGCCACAAAAAGGATGACCCTGATCATCTCCAAGTGAGTATTCATATCTACAAGTTTATATTTGAGTGTTGTGTTGTGTTTCTCATTTAGTGGGAGTACAGGAGGTCAGATGGGATGGAGGCGGCACTGAACCAGCAGGCGAATATACATTTTTCTATGGAAAGGGGACTGAAAATCATGAATTAGATACAGGTTTTCTCGCACATAAGAGAATCGTATCAGCAGTTAAGAGGGTGGAGTTCATTATTGATGGGATGTCATACATAATACTGAGAGGTCACTGGTGTGATATCATCAGTCTGAATGTTCATGCCCCAACAGAAGATAAAAATTATGATATAAAGGACAGGTTCTATGTAGAACTAGAACATGTATTTGATATTTTCCCGAAGTATCCTATGAAAATTTTGTTAGGAGATTTAAATGTAAAGTAGGTAGAAAAGATAGTGTGACATGTCTAGCCGTTGCTGGGCAGCGGGAGGTAGAACGAGTTACCACAAAGACAGACCCTTGATAAACAGTCGGTTGCCAAGTTATGCAACGGTAAGGAAAGCTGTGTTTCTCCATGCCGTGCCAAGTAGAGCCGAAGTGAGCCGAGGTGAGCTGAAGCACGCAGGTTGCTACGCAGCAATAAACAACTCGGCAGTGTTGCCCAGCAGCGCCTGTAAACATGATGTTACGCAACAGTAGTAGCTATCACGTAACTGTTTTCTGTGTTGTCAGTGCAGAAGCTACATAATGAGGAGTATTAGTCAGTGTTGAACCAGTTACTAGACAGAGAGTTAAGATTATTGAGTACGGCAGTATTCAGTATGAGTTGAAGTCCACAGCTATGAGTTGTTCTTGAGTTGTGTTGTGTGAATGGAAGTGACTACAGTAGGAGAAGTAGTTGTGATACTGCAGATGGCAATAATTGTGAATTGTGTAAGTGTAAGAGCAAATGGGCAATAAATTCGCTAAGATCCAAGACGGCATGAAGTTATTTGTCACGTGACACATACCCAACATGTGATAATTTGGTATCAGAAGTGATAGCTACCACTGTTGCATAACGTTGTGTTTACAGGCGTTGCTGGGCAATGCTGCCAATAGTGTTTATTGCTGTGTAGCGATCAACTCACTTCAGCTCAGCTCGGCTCTACTCAGCACAGCACAGAGAAACACTGCTTTCCTTACTGTTGAGCAACTTGGAAACTGACCGTTTATCAAGGGTCTGTCTTCGTGGTAACTCATTCTACCTCCTGTTGCCCAGCAACCATTATACATATCACAGTATTTTGAAACCAACGATTGGGAATGAGAGTTTGCACAAAATTAGTAATCATAATGGAGTTAGAATAGTAAACTTTGCCGCATGAAAATATCTTACTGTCAAATGTACAATGTTCCCACATCGTAATATCCATAAATTTACTTGGACATCTCCTCAGGGGAAGACACACCATCAGATTGACCATATTTTGATAGCTAGGAGACGGCATTCGAGTATACCTGATGTCCGATCATTCAGGACAGCAGATTGTGATACTGACCACCACCTGGTGTTGTCAGAGGTTAGGGAAAGACTGACAGTGAACAAACAAACAATGCAAAGAGTTCATATGGAGAGGTTCAATCTCATGAAATTGGTTGAGGTAGAGGGTAAAGAGCAGTATTGTGTTGAAATCTCAAATAGGTTCACATCTCTGGAAAACTTAGACAATGGGGTGGATGTTAATACAGCTTGGGAAACTAATAGAGAGAATATCAAAGTTTCTGCCAAAGAGAGTATAAGCCATGATTTGATGAAGGATGCTCAAAATTATTGGACCCAAGAAAACAATAAAAAGAGGGAATATCTGAAAGACAGAATTGATGAGCTTTTAATGAACAGTAAGAACAAGAACATTAGAGACCTGTATAGAGGAATAAATGACTTTAAGAGGGGTTACTAACCAAGAAGTAACTTAGTGAAGAATGAGAATCGTGATCTGCATTTTTAATAGGTGGAAGAACTAATTCTCTCAGTTATTGAATTTACATAAAGTCAGTGATATTAGCAGATAGAAATACATGCAGCTGAGCCATTAGTATCTGATCCTAGCCTTTTGAGGCTGAAAGTACTATTGCAAAATTGGAAGGATGTAAATCGCCACATAGTGATCAAATTCTGGGAGAACTTATTCAAACAGGAGGCAAAATATTACTTTTATTTGCTAATTACTGCTCTTTGTCATAAGGAAAAGTTGCCTGATCAGTGGAAGGAGTCTACTATGGTACTAGTTCACAAGAAGGGTGATAAAACTGACTGTAGTAATTAATGGGGGTTATAACTGCTATCAACTTCATACAAAATTTTATCCAATATTCTTCTCTCAAGATTAAGTCCATACATAGATGAAATTATTGGGGATCATCAATGTGGGTTTTGACATAACATAACAGATGAACTACTTATCAGATATTTTGCATTTGGCAGTTAGTGGAGAAAAGTGGGAGTACAATGAGGCAGTACATCAGCTATTCATAGACTTCAAGAAAGTCTATGATTCATTGGGGAAGGAAGTATTGTACGATATTCTGATAGAGTTTGGGATACCCATGAAACTAGTTAAGCTGATTAAAATGTGTTTAAATGATATGTAGTTAGTTATTGGAGAGGGTGGGTTTCCCTATGCGCTTAGACCAGTATTGGTCCAGTGTGCTTCCATCTATGATTTCTACCAGTCTCTATATCCTACCGGTACTGGTGCTTACCATCAGTCCCGCCCAGCCAGCGAGACCGGCTCTACTAACTTAGAGGTATCTATAATGCTTCCCCCATCTACCAGAGGTATTATAGACTGCTGAAGGGCGGGAAACGTCCGTAATTTGGCTCAGTGACCTCCTTCGGAGATATGAGGTTCTTTTACATGCTGTAAAGCTACGACACGGGACCCACGGCTTAAAGTCCCTCCCGGAGGACTTTGTTCCCTGAATTTTTCCACCCTTAAAAATTTGACGACCTCCACCGGGTATTTGAACCCACGTACTACGAGTCATGAGGTGGGAACGTTACCTCTAGACTACGGAGGCCGCTTAAATGATATGTATAGTGAAGTCTGTATGGGTAAACATTTGTGTGGTAATTTTCCTATCCAGAATGGTCTAAAACAAAGAGATGCTTTATTGCCACTGCTTTTCAACTTCGCTGTAGAATATGCCATTAAGAAGGTCGAAAAAAACTAGGTGGGACTGAAATTAAATGAGACACATCGGCTGTTGCCCTATGCTGATGTGAATCTACTGGGTGATAATGTAGATACCATAAAGAAAAAGACACCAACTTTAACTGACGCAAGTAAGGGGGTAGAAGTAAACACAGAGAAAACTAAGTATATGTTGCTGTCTAGTCACCAAAATGCATGGCAAAATCATGACATAAAGATAGGAAACAGATGTTTTGAAAGTGCGGCACAGTTCAGATATTTGGGAACGACGATAACACGTAACAACCTAAATTAGGAGGAAATTGAGAGGAGATTGAACTTGGGTAATGCTTGCTACCATTCAGTCCAGAACCTTTTGATTTCTCATCTGCTGCCTAACAACATAAGAATTAGAATATATAAAACTATAATTTTGCCTGTGGCTCTGTATGGATGTGAAACTTGGTCTCTGACTTTAAGGGAGGAACATAGACTGAGGGTGTTTGAGAACAGGGTGCTGAGGAGAATATTTGGACTCAGGAGATATGAAGTGACAGGAGAGTGGAGAAAACTGCACAATAAGGAGCTCCATAAACTGTAGTATTCTCCACTTGTAATTAGAATGATGAAGTTAAGGAAGATGAGGTGAACAGGGCATGTAGCACAGAAGGCTGAGAAGAGGAACGCATATAGGATATTGGTGGGAAGACAGAAGGAAAGAGACCACTGGGAAGACCAAGGCATAGGTGGGTGGAAAATATTAAGGCGGATCTTAGAGAGAGAGAGGGGGGGATGGATTGGATTGATCTGGCTTGGTATAGGGACCAGTGGAGGGCTGTTGTGAACATGGGAATGAACCTGTAGGTTCCATAAAATGCTGGGAAATTGTTGAGTAGTTACACAATTGGCGGCTTCTAAAGAAGTTCTCGGCTCCATGAGTGACGTAGTTGTGTTTTTCAGCCTGTGTGTGCATGCATATGCATGTGTGCATACACATTTTTATTCATGCATGCCCACAGACACATCAAAGCACATAAACATATACAGTATCATATTATACTGAGCTGTGTGTTTCAGCTTTGTAGGGCCATCATCAGGCTAATATGTTATCACATGTTAGTGACTAGACATGGGGTTTGGATTGGTAATTGGATTTACTGAACTCTTATAACTCGTAACTACATGCATGGACTGCATGGAAAACATCACATTTCTTAGGAATGGATCAGTTCCTCTGTCATCGTGTGTGCAGTCATTGCCACGGAGAGGTGTTTACCATACCATTGTGTAGCAGCGTCCATATCATCTGGCTCCACTATTCTGGCCTTCAGCCAGTCACAATATATGTATGAAATTGCTCTTAATTGCTTGTATAGTTGGGACTGGTCAGTCTACTCATGGTTTTTGTAATGCACATAAATTTAAAATATTAATGTACTTATATCCTGTTTGAAATGTGCCATGCACAAGAAGATAGTCCACCCAAGAAGATAAGTTTTAAAGGCAGGTATTGAACGTTTTGTACAGGTTACATATTAGTAACACTGATACTCTCAAATCAATCTATTTTGCTTACTTTCACTCTTCAATGAAGTATGGAATAATTTTCTGAGGTAATTCATCAGACAGTAAAAAGGTATTTACATTGCAAAAGAAAATTGTTAGAATCATGATGGGTGTCAAATCCCATAGTTCCTGTAGAGATCCATTTAAGAGACTACAGATCTTAACTTTTCCTTGTGAATATATATATATATATATGAATGAATATATATTGTGACATGTTGCGCACTGGAGGACCCCTACCTCCCCAGCGGCATGTGGTGGTAACGTAGCGCTCCCTCCCCCCCTCCGCAGTGGCGTAAC